TTTAGGAATTTTTTTTCCTTCAAGTAGTCATTGGATTAATATATAAGCAAACAAAAACTCACATCCCTCCACTCGCCGTTTATCTTTTTGTTGGTCTCTCACTTTTTACTCAGTCGTAGAAAGAAGTTTTGAGGTCGACTAATCTCCAACCGACTCGACTACTCTCATGAGGTCGACTACTCTAAAAAGTAATCTCTAATCTCATGATTCCATGCATCGGAGTAGTAGGGTAACATGGGGCAAACGGACCAGTGCGGGTCACGGGCCCAAAGCGGGTTTCCCGCTAAGTTTGGCAGATATTTGGCCGTGCGCTCAATCGCCGGTCGACAGTTGCACTGGGATGAAGTGTACGGCTCNAACCCAGCGTTGGCGCCATAATCGTGATCAAAGTCTAACCCAGCGTTGGCGCCATAATCGTGATCAAAGTCTAACCCAGCGTTGGCGCCATAATCGTGATCAAAGTCTAACCCAGCGTTGGCGCCATAATCGTGATCAAAGTCTAACCCAGCGTTGGCGCCATAATCGTGATCAAAGTCTAACCCAGCGTTGGCGCCATAATCGTGATCAAAGTCTAACCCAGCGTTGGCGCCATAATCGTGATCAAAGTCTAACCCAGCGTTGGCGCCATAATCGTGATCAAAGTCTAACCCAGCGTTGGCGCCATAATCGTAATCAAAGCCCAACCCAGCGTTGGCAAACGCAAGCATAAGCATGGAACCGGCAATAATAGCCTAATAGGTATATCTGGCCTAACTCTACCTGAAGCTGGAATTGGTTAACTTGGCAATCATCAAAGTTGCGTCTCTCCTTGCCAGCCAAAACCCTTTTGTGTAAGTAACTAATGAAATACTGCGCAATTAACCATACTGACATAAAGAATTCATTTCATGCCAGTTCTAATCTTGTCATCGAGTAGTCAATTAACAACGCTCAGCTACAAAGAAGTTAATTAACTTAAACAATGGGAGGCCAGCTCCTTCCTAGTGTAAGTTTCATGTATGTATTTCTCGACCTAATATCTAATAATGTATATTATTTCCAGCTTACGTCACCACGTCACTTACGTTACCATTGTAAGCTACGATAGCAAGTAAAAACTACAAAAAGAAAAGTGCCATTTCTTCTTGCCCACCAAACCACATCCGTGTCAATTTAGACAATATGACATTCATTCTTCTGAGTAGGGTAGTCTCACGGCAGCTCCACGGGTACCCAGATACGTTGCATGGAGTGCGGCAGCTTTGAAGGCATGCAGAACAAAACCCTTGGTTTGATAAAACAGGGTAAGATTGTACCGAGAAGAGTTTAATAGAACGAATAGATATCCACTTGTGCTTCGCGTTATCCTTCTTGTGCTGATAAACAAATTGATGTTAACAGTCATTCGTGCGTCGGCTACCGACGAGTTACCACTGCGCTCATACAGGCCTGTGTGTCGGTGTACCGCGGCATGATCTGATAGGAGGGAGTTCGTGGGATTCATGACAGAGTTCGTGGAATTCATGGCAGAGTTCGTGGAATTCATGGCAGACTTCATCTAATTCATGACAGAGTTCGTGGAATTCATGACAGAGTTCGTGTAATTCATGGCAGAGTTCGTGGAATTCATGGCAGAGTTCGTGGAATTCATGGCAGAGTTCGTGGAATTCATGGCAGAGCTCATTCACTTGCAGTTTGGCGTTGCTCTAAAGAGATAATCTCTGCCCTTCAAAAATTCCGTTATTCTGATTTCTTTTTCCTCACATTTCCAACCCACATTCGCATTAAATTTCCATTTTGATCCAAGATTAAATTCGAAGGAAACATAATTTTTTTTTATTATTTTTAAATTGTAAAAAGTTCAAATTGTTAAAGTGTTAACTATTCAATTTACACAAAATAACAGATTTTAATTTCATAATTTGCTCTTTTGCTTCCGTTTTTGCAATAATTTAATATTCCCATTCGAAGAATATAGGTGCCCATCGGCAGCCCTTGCTTTCTCCGATAAGATTTCAGCTCTTCTTTGTCGACATAAACTGTCGACATATAAATGAGAAAAAATTACAATAGATTGTAGTTTATTTAATATTTAGGTCAGCTGATGGCGGAAATGTGATAGTTTACTTAAATGCTGCTGCTGTACGTCTCCCAACTTTGATCAGAAGACGGGATTTTTTCGGTGAAATTCAACCCAGTTCCCCTTGAATGTCCAGTTCACTGATACACGCGCTATTTTTAGGCAATGCCATTTAATAAGCACTTGTCTGCATATATATTCTTCTTCTTCTGCTTCTAGGACCCAAGCCAGGACGTAGTCGATAGAGTTACTCCGGCTAAACTACTTGTTATTCTAGGAGTTAGTTGAGTCGTTACATCCCACCCCCCTTCCAAAAAAATCCTCAAAAAAGGGGGAAATTCGGTCAAAAATGACCTAAAATAAGGTTGCGGAAACGATCACAACTCGAAAAGTTGCAAGCTCAGTGCAATGCGCTTGATTTCAAACGAAAGGTAAAGGATTGGAGTGTGTTTGAGCTTTCGAACGATTTTTTGTCGGGTGAAAACTTCATCCCCAAATTGGGGGTCAAAGTTGATCCTGAAAAAATTGTTTTCGGCCATTTTTCGGTGATTTTTCAATGCTCACTGTCAAAACGTACATTTTTGCAATAGTAAAAGCAAGGAAAAGATGCGTCTCGCTGAGACAAACACACTGGTGAAAACGGATTTAGAAAAAGTTTGAAATTCACAAAGTTGTGAGCGAAACTTTGATCAACTTGTTACCAACTTTTTCACTTTTCTCTTCACAACTCTTCGGAAAAATTTTGTATATTTGTTCAGCAACCCTAATAATAAAGCACAAGTCGTTGCCTTTAATTTGGTTTAATTTGTACCATGTTTCATGATCCTAGCTTCTATAGAACTCGAGTTACGATTTTTCAAAGTAGACAATAACTAACAAATTTTTCGTCCAAATCGCCTTAGTCCGGGCGCTGCTCTGAACGTGTTCTACGAGTTTACTTTTAAGACTATTGTGCAAGCTGCGTAATTTTAGAAAGCTTTCTGAAATATTTTAGCAACAGAGGATACGATTGCGCTAATTACTGCCTATTTAACTCATTTTCAAAAAAATTATTCCTATTAGAAATTTAATGATCAAAAATAGACCGAAATTCGGTTCTGCTCACTTTTAAAATACTTTAATAGCAATTTATTTTTTTTAATTTAGACATTCCATTCTTATATGGGTATTTACTTCAACTTTTTAGCATTATTATTGCGAAAAAAACTTCTCATATGTAACGTTAAAAATCGTTTTAAAGTATTAAAATTGCTCCCTGCCATGTATCTATAGTCCTTGGGCCCGAACGTGAACGCGCCGTATCTCAAATGTTTTGATTTTTAAAGGTCTTATAACTCGGTAACGACCAAGATTGAAGAAAATTTACGCAAATAATAGTTAGAAGAAAACTGAAATACTCTCTTACTTTCTTGTAAATGTTTGTAAGATTAAAAAGTTCCGTGACAATTCCTCCTTAACCCGTATCTTAGTGAATTCTTGATTTATTTACATTGCGGAAGAAACAACCGTCGATTCAAGTAGCGGATGCACATGTTTCGGTGCATATTATCACAAAATTTTCCTATATATTAATTTATGGAAGTTATTAAAGCCGGGAAACGTACTTTCATAACTATTTTTGACTTCTGAAGCTTGAAAGATTCTACATTTCGACAGTCCACCTCAAACGACGCTTCGTTTTCTTCGCGACAGGGAATGGCCTCAAGGATAAACTATATTAGTTCAACCGTGTTGCTAAGTCAATATTTTTTAATAATATAATGTCGAATAATATTTATTCTCCCGATAAAACCACCAATCGTAGTCTTTGAGTTATTTTTCAAGCAAATATTTGTTCAGTTTCAATGTTAACTGAAAATTGCAATTAATAATTAATTCATTTAGTATGGGTTATTCTTAAATCTAATTAAATACATTTTCTTTAAACAATTTTCAATCATAAAATGTTCATTAATACTTTTCTGAATATAAATTGAAGTTTATACTTTATTATTAAATCTATATATTTGTACTAAATTGAAGTCCACCACTGCGTCCAATGCAGATTTTTCGTAGGAGATTATTCTTAACTGCGATTTTTTGCTTTTTCAAGGTCTTTTAACTCTGTAACGTACAGGATTGAAAGAAATTCACACAAATTACAATGAAAATAAAACAAAAATTCCCTTTTAATGGCACCGAGTGTTGATCTCAGGGCCCTGACGTTCCCTCGATATCTGCCGTCAAACAAGATTTCAAGTAGATTTTCGCTCAGGCCATATTAATTACCCCGTATGATGACCATCGGTGTGCTGGAGTAGGCAACGCTCGTAAATGCAACTAGTAAGTTGAGAAACTGGTACCCTAAGAAGTTTTGAAATTGTGTTTTTTTGCACCCTTGGCTTAGTTTTTTAACTTTTTTGCAGTGTTTACTTTGTTAGAGGAAAACCGACACCCAGGTTATTGAAGTTTGGAGTATTTAGGCCGGAGTTCGCATTTCCAAAACGTTCAGTGAGTGTTGGAAATGCGAACTCCAGCTACAATCATGCACGGTATCGTAATAGAAGGTAGGAAATTAACCGTGTCGTAAAATTTACGTCATTTGCTGAGGTTTGGTTCGAGCCTGGAACAAGTTCCTATGGCGACAATCACATAGGGTGGTTAGGTTAGGTTTGATCAGGGAAAGGCAAAGTTAGTTCAAGTTAGGACAGGTTAAGTTAGGTTAGGTTGTGTTGGGTTAGGTAAGGCTAGGTAAGGTATGGTTAGGCGAAGTAAGGTTAGGTGAGGTAAGATTAAGTTAGGTTAGGTTAGGATATGTCAGGCTGTGTTCAGTTCGGTTAGGTTAGGTTAGGGTTTTTTGGCTAGGTAAAATTAATGTAAGATTGTTTTAAACACTAATGATACACACAGGAAAAGGCCACAATTGGGAGATTGTTGTGTGTAGTAGGAAATGTGTGGCAAGAAGAAGAAGAGAGAAAAAGAAGTAAGTAAAAAAGTATAGCGGCTTATCTGGTTGAATTCTACAGAGAATGTATATTAGTTGCTTTATTCGGGCTCAGTCACTTTGGCATGAATGTATAACTTTGATCAGCAGGGGTATGCATGGAAGGATATTTGTTAATTATCACGGTAATATGATAAAGTCGAGCTAACACGTTCAGATTTTCTCTGTTCCATGAAACAGTTGATATGGGAAACAATATATCGGAGGTTTGCACTAAGATAGCCAGCGGCCACACGGTGCATGAGGTCGACTGCGCCACTAAAGAGAAGATCGACAAGCTCCTACCGGGGCCCTGGGCGGACGTGGTGCTGCTGAGGCCCCACAACTGGGTTGTACTTCGCAGATTTCTTAAAATTCACGAGAAGGTCTACAACTTCCAGGTTTGTGGGGTTTACTTGCGCCAACTATAAAGATTTTTATTAATGGTCTAATTTCATATTAACTTTCTATATATTGTGAAATAACAATTAGTTTCGTGCACAAATTTTGAACATGAAATTTTAATCCACCTCTGATGTGGAATCGCTCATCGTTGCTTTCGCGATGAAAATGACCCATCGCTTAACTGTTATTTTTGATAGTTTACTATGCGCAGAAAAGAAAAACTGCTATATTTAGAATAATTTCACTGAGAGAACTAACATATTTCAGTTTCGACCAGACGATGTAGTGGTGATGACATACCCCAAATGTGGTACCACGTGGATCCAGGAGATCGTCTGGAACATGAGGAACAACCCAGACCTTGACAACCCAGACGCCGACGACGCACTCTTCGTACGCAGCCCCTACCTTGAGTGAGATTAGTGGGGCTAATTTGTGACTAACATTCGGGCTGAATACTTCTTACTTAAAGCTGGAAATGCTAAGAAGCTATCTTGGGGGTCCACTAGCAATAAATATTCAGGTCGTGTCCTTAATACTAATAGCTGGAAATGCTAAAAAATTATCATTGGATTTTTGTGTTTTAGCGACAATAAATGCAACAGGAACGGTTTTAATTTTGTCATTGTTATATTCGGTTGATAATAGCTTTTAAACGTGCAATGACTTTGTAAAATTTAATATGATAGAACCAGTGGTGGGAACAGTCCGCTGATCCGCCAACCGCTAATTAGCGAAATTAACTGTTTCTTTAGCTGGTGTGCCACACTGATGGCTGACTAATGACTATGTCAACATATGTACGTTAACCAGTCATGACTTTTGTAACAAAAGACGTAATAGGTTACACAAGACGTGATTGGTTGACGATCATATGTTGACGTAGTCAGCAAGCAGTGTGGCACACCGGCTAAGGAAAACGTCATCTTCGCTAATTAGCGGTTAGCGGATTAGCGAACTGTGTCCATCACTTGATAGAACCTTTCCCTCTATTGGATCAAAGAAGAAACCTAATTCGTGTCGTAAATGTGTTTAGTAGAAACTGTTACTGAAAATGACATAGAATTTGTAAAGAATCGCATACTAATTAAATACATGGAGTTTAATGCCATCATGGTCTAGTTAGTTATGATTGCAATATCATTCTCCATTCTTTTCACATTTCTCTAGTGGAAGCGGTAAATTTTTTTCATGCGTGAATCCGATATTTGTGTTGTTAGCTTAAAGAAATAAGAGGAACATTGTCCAAATAGCGATGCACTTTTTACCTTTGTGTAGGCGATCTTGACCCAATTTGGCCCAGCAAAAATGCGTAGCAGTGCAACGTCCGCTCGCTGTGGGTATGGAAATGAGTCGTTATTTGGGCTATTTGATTTACTAATTTTTCGTTCAATTTCGTCATGGTTCTTTGGCTTGTTTATTTGCGGGGTGCGCAGGATCGACATGTTTTCCGTGCCTGAAATGGCATTCGACATTGCTTCCATTGTCGCCTTCACGAAGGGCATCCAAAAATACGTCTGGAATCTCTTCCACCTACTGGGAAGTTCACCTATGTTCAAGGTACGGTAAAATAATTACGGATTATTCTAAGTTTTGTACAATATTACTTCTCTAACGAAATGCAGAAACTGCATTTACAGCGCTCTGAGAGGTCCTTTCGTAAATCTTACAAGGAAGGCAAAAATATTTTCGTAGAAACATACAAATTTGAAATGTTTTTTCTTTGAGTTTCAGAAAAGTTGCCTTAGTTACCCGTTTGTTACATGTAGAACACTTAATTAAAATCAAAGTATCCTTGCGTGCATATTTTATTAAAAATAAAGAGGATTTACACTTTGCACTTTTGAATGACAGAAGAATTTAAACTATTTTTCAGGTGGCTGAAGCTCACAGGAAGCCTCGCACTATCAAGACTCATCTGCCCTTTTCCATGCTGCCCAAGAATCTATTGGACACATGCAAGGTTAAATCAGAAAATGTCGTGGAACATATAGTCTAAATAGTGATACGCTTTTTGCACGTAGTACTGAGATGCCATTTTTGCCGAGTCAAAATGGGTAATGATGACCCATTTGGCCAATTCTCATTCATTTCTCATTTGATTCCTTTGCCAACCTCACAGGAGATTCTGAAATTCAGTTCATAATTTTAATACATTTATTTAATCTGAGCTAAAATTAAAGTGGATTCTATAGAAAACGTGAAATTACAATTCGAAATGAATGGTCAGAAACAAGCGTTCATCAAGTTGGTAATAATTTAGTGCCTAACTGTTGAATTTAGATAATTGAAATTAGTTAGTAGCATATTTCACTATGCACTTACTTATAAATATTCTTTGTTACAAAGAACATGCCTTAGACTCAAATTTGGCTACTAACTGGGTCCTTCCGTACGACGAAGTCGCGAATCTTAGAAAAAACGATCTTGCAACAAGCCAACAACCAGACATTTAAAAGACCAGGATCGTTACCTCATTCTATCGCTGCTATTATATATGAATGCAGATTTTGAGATATGCGTGTTGCACACTGTATAGTGTTCACAACACTGTATTGAAAGATTGCCTACATGAATCGTCTCTAGATTGTGATGCAAGCAGCCACTCATCAACTTATTAGGACTGATTTGATCTATTTAGATGGTAGACATTGAATTATTAAGCCTGATATACTCCTGCCATTGACCCCACAGGTTGTTTACATGTCGCGTAATCCCAAGGACAACGTACTGTCCGCTCAGCACCACTACAAGCTACACAAAATGAACAACTTCGTTGGCACTCAGGATGAATTTGTTGACCTTTACGTGGAGGACTTGCGTGAGATTTATTTATATTTTGGTGCTGTTGTAGGGTTATAAATATAATAAAATACTCCAATCGTAGTATTTTTCAATGTCTTTCAGTGACAGTTGCCGAATTTTTTAAAATCCTGATTTCACTGTTTTAGAAAATTCGTCGCGATTTCAGTGTTATTTAGAGAGTGTTGCGAAGGAAATATAATACCTCAATTGCGGTATTTTTACTTTTTTTCAGTGTTATACAGCCCGTACGGGCAGCACCTGAGGGAGGCGTGGTCTCGACGCCACCACCCCAACTTCTTCATGACGACGTTCGAGGAGCTCAAGGCAGACACCCGCCAGCAGCTCACGAAGCTCGACGCTTTCTTGGGCACCGGCCTTACGGACAAGCAGTTCGACAACGTCAGTGTTGCAATGCAGCACTCACTTCAATAACATACTCATTATAATTCATTCACTATCACTCAATTTACTCACTTACCCGCTATCACTCACTCGCCCACTCATTCTCTCACTCACTATCACTCATTCAAATGGTTTTGATGTTTGCTACTGATGAGTTAACAGGACAACAAATATATAATAAGATATAATATTTGTTCCAGGCAGGACTGATAGGCTAAGGATCACTTATATTATCTTATAACATAAAAAACTTATATGGAATTTTTTCGTAAGTTTGAAACTTATATGGAAGTTTTTCGTAACAAGTTTGTATATGGTACGTACTTTTTCAGATTTTACAGATAACCAGCTTCCGGACCATGCAAGAGATGCACCAGCTGCAGAAACTTAACGAAACTGCCTACAATATGGACGTGGGAAACAAGGAAGGACTTTTCATCAGGCAGGGTGAGGGCTGAGTCCGCCGAAATCCTGGACAAGTTTTGTGACCAAAATATAATTTCTGATTTTTTTGGTTGCATTTCTCACCGTTTGGTAACTAATAATGGATAAGAATTTACTTGAAAATTGAACATTTTTAATGAATTTTCTATGATTTTATCGTTCATTTCAAAATTATGTATTTAAAACGTATCAGGAAACTTTAAATTTATTTTACTGTTCTAAAATACATTAACCCGTCTGCAATTGTATTCATCCGTAAACCGAGCACAAATAGGTCACATTTAAATATATACAATAGTTTCTAATTGAGCTTATAATTACTTTTAATGTTCACTTAATCAGACTAAAGTCTTTAGTTGATATTCATATGTTTTCTAGGCAAGGCTGGCACCTGGAGGGACAAGATAACTCCAGAACAGAACGCCAAACTCGACCTTTGGATCAGGAAAAATTTCACCGATCATGGAATCGACTTCAAATACGACTGATTGCCTGCCAAGCCTATAATATTTCGAGAAATGTTGTAATGAAATGATCTATCTAATGAACATTTTTTATTCGATCTGAATCGAACATATCTTTAAAGGTAATAACCTTGAACGTAAATTTGTTTCACTAACATAGCCGTCTGAATTTATATCAACAGGCTTTAGCATCATGCGGGTGATTGTGCTCTTTATTTTTGTATGACATTCTACTTTTTGTACTTTAATTTTTTAGAAATATTTGGAATTTTTGCGGCAGTTTGAGGAAGATTCAAAATCAAAACTATGCAGCATTTTAGTGAGCAATTAGTTTGGTTATTTCTTTGTAATTCTGAATGGGATAAAGATACTTTAATCAATATATTTTAATTTATAATCATATTTTTTTTTGTTTGATAGCCTTGACATTAATATAGTCTTCAAAGGCTTGAAATGCCCAAGACTGCCCAAGACTAAAATGTAGTTATTACGGTAAAATATTAAGGCTAATATTTCAAAACGGCTCAAGTTAAATCAGCTCAAAATCATAGTTTACTATGATTGCTTCACGGTGATATTTTTGTCCGTCAATGTCTGCTCCCGGTGAAGACATACTCCCATGAGCAACCAATGTCTCCACTGCTTCAGAGTACAGACGCTCTGTAAAAATTGTGGTGCAGTGGTTTATGGCTTGGTGATACGTGGTAGGGTCTGATAACTTTAAGTGAAATGGTTGCAGTCTGTACTACAAGGATGCTGAGAATGATTGAAGATCTTCTCAGAGGCTGAGAAGATCTTCAAGCCTCTGGCATTGATTGACAGAGGACTCGAAGCCTCTGGCATTGATTAGGTTGAACATAAAGCCTCTACTGGTACGTGGTACCGCGGCTTTAACCTAAGCAATACTGCTAGTGCTACTACGTGCAGCACTATCAGTACTGCCTATTAACTAGATATTTACTTTAAATATACGCAAAATGTCTGGTGCGTGTTATGGGTGGTGCCTGGATGGGAATCATGAGACGATTATGATGAATATAGACATGCAAAATTATTGCAGATGCAGTCAGGTTATGAGACAAGCTTTGACAAATGTGATGTTTTCTTTGTAATAGACATATTTTTTATCCATTTAAAAGCCTGCCAAGAAAACATAGAATGTTTTTTTTTTGCTTGTTCCAAATAAAAAATATCTATAAAGTGAAATAACACTTCATGTGTTATTTATTTATTATTTCACTTTATTCATGTTTGCATCTTAGGTTTAATAAATTTTTTTTATAGTCTACCTTTTCAGGGCTGGAAAAGTCTTACTTTTCCAGGTCTTAGTTTTTTTCCAGTTAAAATTTATTGTCTAATTAACTCGTTAATGTTTATACGCTTATCGTTTGTCTCGTGTAAGGAGGCAAAGTCTACGCTCGTTAGCTCGATCTTAATTGTTACTACCTTATCTCTAGCTGAGTGAAGACCTCCTGCTCAAACAGTATTACGACTTTTGTTAACTCTTGATTTTCTACACCTTAATTTGAGTTTGTGCGAGTGTGCTTTCATTTTATTTTGTTCCATTTAATGCATGTTCGAACTTTTTTGTTCGCTCGTCTAAAATCTTGCTTAACCGGCTTCACGACAGTGCTTGAAACCCGTAGGGTTATATACTCCTTGGAGCTTCGGTGTTTAACCGATTTTGTCACATGCCTTAGTGCTGTGAATTAACTTGCATTCTTGCATGCGCTTAACTCTCTTTAAACTACCGAACACTCCTATTACTGTTTTCACTATTTTCTTTCCAATAGTTCACTACATGAGAACTCTTGTCTAGGGTTCCTCAACGGAAACAAATAAGTCAGTTATTTTGATTTATCTTGAAAGTGTTATTAATCTGATTTTATTTGATCATATTGAAATCCATTGCGTTAAAAACCTTGAATCCATTAATTTTAGTCTTAAGTTGGTTTTCTGTCTCATTCAAATAAGAATAGTAGAGAGAGGGACATATTCACCTTAAACAGTGACTCATTCAACTGAAATCAAATATTGTGTACTAAGACTCCTAACGTTTGAACTTGTACTTATGTGCAAATGTATTCTACTACAGTGCACGAGTTCCTCATCGCGCTTCGTGCTTCTCGTTACCTCCTGGCTTCGTTTTGCGAACCAATTCTTTTTTCGGAACCATTTCAATAAAAGTTTCAACGCTTTCCTTGTTATTTAATTTCCAATTGTACCAAATTGAATATTAGGTTTAATAAATTCTTTTTATAGTCTACCTGCTCAGGGCTGGAAAAGTCTTACTTTTTTCTGAACTATCGCCGCTCTAATATAATATAATTTCAGTAGGTATGAATTCTTGCAGCTTTAATGTCATGTGTTTTTGTTTGATTGAAAAAATTGCTGTTTTCACTTCGCAAACATGTCGTATCATAAAATTTTCAACTTCCACAATCCGCAGTACTTCAACGCTCCCGCCAAAATATCCTGCCGAACGTATTAACAAGTCAACCGTCAACCCAAAGCAAGGAAAACATTTCCTTGAAGATCGCAAAGTTGCGGTCACGTCAGAGTGGTCTGACTGCATTATCACGAGTTCAGTTGCCACTTGAATGACTGTGAAAACAAATGTTTGGTTTAGAGTACAGACAGCAACCATTAGACTTAGAGTTATCAGACCCTAGCGCCAACTTGCAGCCAAGTCACCAACCACCGCACCACAATTTTTACAAAGCGTCTGTTCACTCTGTCTGAGACGCTAAGCGGTGGAGACATTGGTTGCTTATAGGAGCACATCGTCACCGGGAGCAGGTATTAAGCCTGATGTATCTATTGAGATGGTAGACATTAATTTATAACGCCTGATATACTCTTCCCATTGACCCCACAGGTTGTTTACGTGTCACGTAATCCCAAGGACAACGTACTGTCCGCTCAGCACCACTACAAGCTACACAAAATGAACAACTTCGTCGGCACTCAGGATGAATTTGTTGACCTCTTCGTGGAGGACTTGCGTGAGATTCATTTATATTTTGGTGTCGCTGCAGGGTTATAAATATAATAAGACACGACAAGAATAAGAAATATATGTTTAGGAAAAATCCTCGCGATTTCAGTGTAATTTAGAGAGTGTTTTACAGTGTTGTGAAGGAAATAGTATACTGCAATTGCGGTGTTATTACCGTTTTTTTTAGTGTTGTTCAGCCCGTACGGCCAGCACCTGAAGGAGGCGTGGTCCCGACGCCACCACCCCAACTTCTTCATGACGACGTTCGAGGAGCTCAAGGCAGACACCCGCCAGCAGCTCATTTTTTACTCAGTCGTACTGTAGAAGTAAGTTTTGAGGTCGACTACTTTTGCCTCTATCTACCGCTTCCTCTGTACGGCCCTAGGGCCCAAGTGTGTTTAATTGCGTCTCTTTTGATTTGAAACATATCAGGTAATTTTAAAATATTCTCCTCTAAAAGTAATCTGTAATCTCACGATTCCATGCATCGGAATAGTATTTCAAGCCCAACCGCAGCCGATGGCACTATAATCATGATCAAAGCCCAACCCAGCGTTGGCGCTATAATCGTTATCAAAGCCCAACCCAGCGCTGGCACTATAATCGTGATCAAAGCCCAACCCAGCGTTGGCACTATAATCGTAATCAAAGCCCAACCCAGCGTTGGCACTATAATCGCAATCAAAGCCCAACCCAACGTTGGCACTATAATCGTAATCAAAGCCCAACCCAGCGTTGGCAAATGCAAGCGTACACATGGAACCGTCAATAATAGGTACGGTATATCTGGCCTAACTCTCCCTGAAGCTGAAATTGGTTAACTTAGCTATCATCAAAGTCGCTTCTCTAGATATCCACTTGTGTTTCGCGTTATCCTTCATGTGCTGATAAACAAATTGACGTTAACAGTCATTCGTGCGTCGGCTACCGACGAGTTACCAATGCGCTCATACAGGCCTGTGTGTCGGTGTATCGCGGCATGATCGGATAGGAGGGAGTTCGAGGAATTCATGCAGAGTTCGTGGAATTCATGGCAGAGTTCGTGGAATTCATGGCAAAGTTCATGGAATTCATGGCAGAGAGAATGGAATTCATGTCAGAGTTCGTGGAGTTCGTGGCAGAGTTCGTGGCAGAGTTCGTGGAGTTCATGTCAGAGTTCGTGGAATTCATGGCAGAGTTCGTGGAAATCATAGAAGAGTTTGTGGAGTTCATGGTAGAGTTTGTGGAGTTTATGGCAGAGTTCGTGGAATTCATGCAGAGTTTGTGGAGTTCATGGCAGAGTTCGTGGAGTTCATGGCAGAGTTCGTGGAGTTCATGACAGAGTTCGTGGAGTTCATGGCAGAGTCCGTGGAATTCATGCAGAGTTCGTGTAGTTCATGGCAGAGTTTGTGGAGTTCATGGCAGAGTTCGTGGAATTCATGGCAGAGTTCGTTGAATTCATGGCAGAGTTCGTGGAATTCATGGCAGAGTTCGTAGAATTCATGGCAGAGATCATAGAATTCACGTCAGAGTTCGTGGAATTCATGGCAGAGTTCGTGGAATTATTGACAGAGTTCGTAGAATTAATGGCAGAGTTCGTAGAATTCATGGCAGAGTTCGTGGAATTCATGGCAGAGTTCGTGGAATTCATGGCAAAGTTCATGAAATTCATGGCAAAGTTCATGAAATTCATGGCAGAGTTCATTAACTTGCAGTCTGGCGTTGCTCTAAAGAGATAATCTCTAAAAAATTAAAAATAAAAATTCCGTTATTCCGAATTCTTTTTCGCCACATTTCCAAGCCACATTTTTTATTAAATTTCCATTTCGATCCAAGATAAAATTCGAGGGAAACATACTTTTTTGTATTATTTTTAAATTGTAAAAGTTAACATTTTTAAAGTGTAAACTATCCAATTTACACAAAATAAAAGACTTTAATTTCATAATTTGCTCTTTTGCGTCTGTTTTTGCAATGATTTTATATTCCTATTCGAATAATATAGGTGCCCAATCGACAGCCTTTCCGTGCCCCGACAAGATTTCAGCTCTTCTCTGTCGACATAAATTGTCGACATATAAATCAGAAGAAATGGATGGGTTATACATAGTTTATTTCTTATTTAGGTCAGCTGATTGCGGCCTTGTGAAGGTGGTTGACTTGTATGCTGCTGCCGCACGTCTCTTAACTTTGATCAGAAGACGGTATTTTTTGGTGAAATAGAATCCAGTTCACCTTCCAATCCAGTTCACTGGTGCACGCGATGATTTAGGAAATTCCGCCGCTCACTCAGCACTCGTCTGCGTATATATTCTTCCTCTGCTGCTTCTAGGACCAGTAAGTTGAGCCAGGACGTATTCGTTAGACGAGTTACTCCGGCTAAAATACTAGTTAATCCAGGAGTTAGTTGAGGGGTCGCCTGCCGAAGACCACCACTGCCCTGTATGTAATGGACCATCATGATTCTTGCCTTCCGGAACGTAGCCTTCAACACTTCAAGCCGTCCGTATCTTCGGCTCCCTCTGAACAAGTCGTGACATGAGCAGAACCAAACTGTAAGTCTGTAACCCTGTAATTGGTGCTGATCAGATGCCGTTCTATCAATACTCGCTTGTACTCGTAGTGACACTGCTTTGCTGGTTGTACTTTAGAGGCTTTTACGCGCATAAAGTATTTATCCTTACTTATCCTTCTATTAACTAGACGCCATTAGTTAGAACTATACTCATTGGGTAATGAAGAAAAACAACTATAACTCCTGTGCAACTAGAGAATTTGAACCCCACAACAGCAGCCTTGAAAGAAATCTAAAAAAATTATGTATCAACCAATAAGAAAGATTACTTTCAAATGCAATTAACTTCAGTCGATCGAAAAGAAAGAACAGGATATTTGTATGTAGATCAATGCATTTTCGCGTATCTTAAATGCAATTACCTAATTGAGTATTAAGTATTAATCGTACTAGTAATAGTCAGTATTTGGAGGGGAGTGCTGCTGAAAAAAAAACATGATTAGACTAAGAAAAAAATTATTGTTGCTATCGTTTCATATATTTTAATGTTGGAAAATCGGAGTGATTACTCTTCCAATTTTACGTTATGTTCAGGTTCCAGATATTCATAACTTATCGTTTTGTCAGGTTGACGCCGAATGGCTTAATAGGCACGTATAAAAAAGTTCTCGCATGATTAGGTTAAGGCAAAAATATCGTACAGAGCGAGGGTTGTAATGAAACACTGATACATTTCATATTAAATTGGTAAATTCAAGTTCACATCCTACGTTAACAAAAAATCTCAAGTACATAAAAAAAAGAAAGTCCGAACAAAATCAAAATTTAAAGCCTATCAGTTAACATCACTAAATTTTCTCTATTTACCAGAAACAGATCCGTTGCAGTTCCGTTGAGTAGACGGCTGTTGTAAACGACCGTATAATACACGCACACTTTGCGGCTGAAGGTTCAGCGGCCGTACCGCTGCTGTATTCTCGCGTTTGAAGCCGTATTCCAAGCGGCCGTACCGCAGCTTTAGCCGCGCGTCCTCGCGATCGCTGTTTTTCATAACCGTCGTGTTTCGCTGATATAGATGCCTCACGGACAGTCTGGCCGTAGCTTTATTGTAAATTTACTGCAGTTGATGGTTGTGACCGTATCGTTTCTTCTGATGGGAACTGCGACCGTACTGATGAATCTTCGGGTGACGGGCGTTGTATGTAATCCTGGTACAATTCGCGGCTCTCTCGCATTGCCTCACGGCTGAGTCGCAGCCATAGTGTTGATGTTGATTTTCTTAACGTGCTCACAGGACTCGTAGCTGCCTCGATAAATCTAGGTTTCTCGCGACAATCAATGTTCGTAAACGGCGAAACCACCGGCCTCACGGCCGCGACCGTTACTAAGTCCGCTGACTGAAGACTGAGCTCGTGACCGTGACTTTAGAAGAACAGCCTTTGGCGCCAATTTTAGGGTCCTTATATAGGCAGCTGTCGCGCACCGTTTAAGCCAATCCCTCGAAGTGACGCCGCGACAGTTATGAAATCCGCAAGGGTCAGCCGTGTGATGCCCTCGCCATTCCAAACTATAAAGAACCCTCGGTCTCACGGTCTCGAGAACAATAGCACCTTATACAAGCTTTACACAGTTCAAACCAAATTCCTGTAACCTTCTCAACACTTCACTCTAAGTCTCTAACTTCCAATAACTGTCTTAACTCAAGTTTTTAATTCACCCTCAGCAACGTTCTATACAGTATAATTTAAATCAGAATTACCGACGCTTAATCAAACGGTAAGCTTAATTGAATTCTACACAGAATGTATTTGTTCTTAGCGAGCCGTTCATGTCGTACGCTCTTTCGGGCAGTTAACTCGTATGGAGTAAAGAAGATGGACGAAGGTCTCCACTTTACTCGTAAACGTGTAAGCTAAAAAATTACCTATGAGACACTAATACAGCACAACTATGGAAATTACCTATGAAACACTAATACAAAACATTTATACACACGAACCAGAAACAGCGTTAACACGCTTTTACAATAAACACAATTATGGAGAAAACAATAAGTTGAAATATTTTTAGTTACTATAGGTTACTTAGACTTACATAGTTCGTATAGGAGTACTGCGCAGTAAGTACCAGGTCACAAGGATGAAAAACGTACGGCCTAACAGGTTCAACATAAGATTGCGTTGGCTACTTATTCTTTGTATGAACAGAGACAGAGAGACGGGCGTATGAACGACGCCACAGTATTATTAGTTGCTTTATTAGGGCTCAGTCACTTTGGCATGAATGTATAACTTTGATCAGCAGGGGTATGCATGGAAGAATATTTGTTAATTATCATGGTAATATGATAAAGTCCATCTAATACGTTCAGATTTTCTTTGTTCCATGAAACAGTTGACATGGGAAACAATATATCAGAGGTTTGCACTAAGATAGCCAGCGGCCACACGGTGCATGAGGTCGACTGCGCCACTAAAGAGAAGATCGACAAGCTTTTGCCGGGGCCGTGCGTGGACGTGGTGCTGCTGAGGCCCCACAACTGGGTTGTACTTCGCAGATTTCTTAAAATTCACGAGAAGGTCTACAACTTCCAGGTTTGTGGGGTTACTTGCGCCAACCATAAAGATTTTAAGTAATGGTGTAATTTCATATTAATTCTCGATGTATTGCGGAATAGGAATAAGTTTCTTGCACAAATTTTGAACATGAAATTTTAATCTTACTCTGATGTGTAATCTCTCATCGTTGCTTTCGCGATGCAAATGACCCATCGTTTAACTGTAATTTTTAGTAGATTACTGTGCGCAGAAAACAAATACTGTTCTATTTAGAATAACATCACTGAAAGAACTGACGTATTGCAGTTTCGACCAGACGATGTAGTGGTGATGACATACCCTAAATGTGGTACCACATGGAGCCAGGAGATCGTCTGGAACATGAGGAACAACCCAGACCTTGATAACCCAGACGCAGACGACGCACTCTTCATACGCAGCCCCCAACTTGAGTGAGATTCATAGGGCAAATTTGTTACTAGCATTTGGGCTGAATACTTCTTACTTGTAGCTGGAAATGCTAAGAAACTACCTAGGGGATCTACTAACAATAAATCGCATTCAGGTCATGTAATTCCTACTTATAACTGGAAATGCTAAAAAACTATTTTTGGGTTCTACTAACAATAAATCACATTCATGTCGTGTACTTTCTACTTATAGCTGTAAATGCTAACAAATTATCATGGGATTTTTGTATTTTACTTGTGTTATTCTTTATTACCTAATGAGTAGGTTAGTTTTTACTAATAGCACCTAGCTAATCAAAGGATAACTAGGGATAGACACTTTATGCGCGTAAAAGCCTCTAAAATACAACACAACGAAGCAGTGTCGCTACGAGTACAAGCGAGTATTGATAGAGCGGCACCTGATCAGCAAGAATTACAGGGTTACACACTTCCAGTTCATTTATGCTCATGGTAAACAAACCGTTCTCTGATGAAAGTTGAATGAGACGCAGTGCAGCAGCTAATAATAATAACAGCGGTTTCAGCGTTTAGTAGGCTGTAGGCCGGTCACCGATTCTTAACATCGCAGAACATTCACCGCATTTTGCGGGCTCGAACTCGCAACTCACTGCTACAATTCTGCTGTGCTTAACCGCCCAGCCTCCGTGCCGATTCTGACCATACAGAAACTGGCGCACAGAGCTGGGATTGAACCCGCGTCTCTCGTCTCCAATCTTGGTACTCTGAATAGAATAGAAGTGTCGGCATTGAAGAAATAGGCCCATGGCCTGTTGCAGATTCTTGAACTTTTCGTGACTTGATTCACAAGGGATCCGGCCTTTGGAACCCGATCTTTCCATAACTGACGATGGATTGATATAGCTGCTAGACTTATTACCTAGCTGGTCCTTTATTTACTGGGCATTTAAGAGTGAACATATGCTCCTGCATAGCTTCGTCTAGTCTGTTTTTGAAGATATTTATACTTGGAGCGTCAACGATGCTATCAGGAAGGCTGTTCCATATGTCGGTGACTCGAAGCGAGAAGAAATGTTGTCGCATGGATGTGTTCCAACGCTGTTTTCTTAGTTTATAGCCGTGGCCCCTGGTGTTGGTTCTTGTTACAAATTCCAATAATACTTCTGGGACCTTGTATAAGCCGTTAGTATACTTGAATGCTTCAATGAGGTCCCCACGCAGACGTCGATAACTGAGGCTTGGAAGCTTCATAATCTATAATCTTTCCTCATAGGACTTGCCTTTCAAGCCCGGAACTATCCTTGTTGCGCGCCTTTGAACACTCTCTAATAAATTTTTGTCCTTTTCAAATTTCGTAGACCACACGACGTTTCCAAACTCTAAGTGCTTAGAAAATTTCAACTCATTGTCGATATTAACTCCTAAATCCTTATCCGTTGTCAACTTCGGCATCATCACTCTGTCGTTGCAACCGTGTCTTCTCATACTGTAATCTTGCTGTTCATTATTCTTGCCAAGGTGGATAACTTTACATTTGTCAGCGTTAAAACGCAGCTGCCACTGTATCAGCCCAGTCAACCAGCCTTTCAAGATCACTTTGCAACTGTACTTTTAGCAACTTTAACCACTGGGCCACCCTTCCACAACCACAAGTCAACAATAGCATGACCGCAATCATCTGACCTAAATAATAAATAAACTACAATCTATTGTCATTTAGTCTCATTTATATGTCGACTAAGAGCTTAAATCTTGTCGGAGCACGTACGTAAAGGCTGCCGATGGGGCACCTATATTCATCGAGTGGGAATATTAAATAATTGTAAAAACTGCAGCAAAGAGCAAATTAGGAATTTAAAATCTTTTATTTTTTGTAAATTTGATCGTTTACACTTTAAATAGTTTAACTTTTACACTTTAAAAAGTGTGAAAAAGATAGTAAATTTCGTTTCCTTCGAATTTACTCCTGGGAGTGAAATGGAAATTCGACGCGAAATGTGGGTTGGAACGGAAATTTTTTTAATATAGCTACGCACTTTACTTTTGAAATTATTAACGGGAAAAGGGATTCAGAATAACGGAATATTTGAAGTGCAAAGATCATCTCTTTAAAGCAACGCCAAACTGCAAGTGAACGAACTTTACCCTGAAGGCCACGAACTCTGTCTTGAATCCCACGAACTCTGCCATGAATTCCATGAACTCTGCCATGAATTCCATGAATTCCACGAACTCTGCCATGAATTCCATGAACTCTGCCATGAATTCCACGAACTCTGTCTTGAATCCCACGAACTCTGCCATGAACTCCATGAATTCCACGAACTCTGCCATGAACTCCATGAATTCCACGAACTCTGCCACGAACTCTGCCATGAACTCCATGAATTCCACGAACTCTGCCATGAATTCCATGAACTCTGCCATGAATTCCATGAACTCTGCCTTGAATTCCATAAACTGTGCCACGAATTTTACGAGCTCCATCTTATCAGAGCATGCCGCGATACACTAGCTGTCGTTTTGCTTTTGCTTGTGCATTTTGCTCTATCAGCACTAAAATGATAATGCGAAGCGCAACTGGATACCTATTCGTACTATCAAACTCTTCTTGGTACAAGCCCATCATGTTTTATCAAATCAAGTGTTTTCCAGACGCAAGCACGTCAAGAAGAGAAGATAATGTTGAAGCACAAGAAAAGTATAATCAGCCCTTGCCTCTTTTCTTTGATAACCAAGTTGATTAGATGTCATAGGCTCGGAAAATGCACAGATCTCGTTGTGAAGAAGCTCGATGCAAGCAAAGATTTTAAGAGATTGAAGCAAAAATATTGATGTTTCCATCAGCAACAGGTTTCTCCATGAATTCCATGAACTCTGCCTTGAATTCCATAAACTGTGCCACGAATTTAACGATCTCCATCTTTTCAGAGCATGCCGCGATACACTAGCTGTCGTTTTGCTTTTGCTTGTGCATTTTGCTCTATCAGCACTAAAATGATAACGCGAAGCACAACTGGATACCTATTCGTACTATCAAACTCTTCTTGGTACAATCCCATCATGTTTTATCAAATCAAGTGTTTTCCAGACGCAAGCACGTCAAGAAGAGAAGGTAGTGTTGAAGCACAATAAAAGTATAATCAGCCCTTGCCTCTTTTCTTTGATAACCAAGTTGATTGGATGTCATAGGCTCGGCAAATGCACAGATCTCGTTGTTAAGAAGCTCGATGCAAGCAAATATTTTAAGAGATTGAAGCAAAAATATTGATGTTTCCATCAGCAACAGGTTTCTATTATATGTTGCTGCGCAAAAATCGTATCAGCTTTATATAGAAGTTGTATAATATCGTGACAGACAAGCCTGAGATTTCTAGTTGACTCCATATTGCAGGTTATATTGTTATACTATATTTTCAACTTATTGTTATATATTTTAAACTTATTGAAGGGTATATGTATCTATATAACCCACTCAAAGTGTTGTATTTGTTACGTTCAGATAATTACAGTTACCCACAACGGAGAATCACGACTTTTAGACCCCCGGTCTCAGAGTAAAGCTCGCTCGATTTGGAACAACGCGCTTCAGATCCGCAAATCCCGTTGGCCCTTTGAAGACTCGTGTCTAAAGGTCTTAATAATTGGAGGCGTAAAATGAATAAATTTCCTTATTATATCGGGAAATAAAAAGGAATCGGGGGAATGAAAAAATTCACGAATGTAAAATTTTTAATCTTTAAAAATAACCATTCAGATTTACTGTACACAAATTTGATAACATAAGTTTTGGAAACATAACTTGATTCAAGCATTGCTGTTTTGCAGCGGCTTAAACAACCTAACAATTTCAGCCAAAATTTTTGTCAAAAATATTTTAGCATTTGATTTTACATAAAAGGTCAAGTGCTCCATTAACAAACTGAAAATTCGACAAAAATTTTCAACGGGGCAATAATAGACGTCGTCTCACTGAAGTCCGACATTTCATCACAAGTTTTAAGAGATGAACGGAACTATTTTGGTACGGAGGCGAGGCTAGGCAAGCCTATAGGTGCCTGTACACAGGGATAGTACTAGCCGCTAGTTCATCCGCCGCATGAACTGTCCACGCTACTAGCCTCGTGTATAGAGGGGTTCAGCCGCTTCAGAGGCATGCGCCGGCAAGTGCCGGAGACGCGGTCGATAGGGACAACGATGTGTTGATTTCTGAGCTGGAGAAGTGGCTAGTAGCGCTGATGCAGCCATGGTGAGAGCTTCTGTGCCGCTTTTGTGAAGTATCTTGGGTCAAGTGATGACTTGTTTGAACGATAATGTTTCTAAGAGGAATCCAACAAAGTGGATTCCAGACGATATTCAGTTATTCTTTGAAATACTCCAAAAATATGAATTAAAGTACAATGTTTGCCATGATGGTTACTCCAACAAAATGAAAAGAGTATTTTGAAACGGAAAGAAGGCCTTATTAGTCAGGGTTTAGTTGTTCCTGACGCTGTATTTTTAAGGGCTCGAATAAAGAGTATAAAAACGACGTACAGACTCGAGTCGTTGAAAGTGATCCAACTATCCATCTTCGCAGACCTCACTCGACGGCTTCTAACGACTCACTGGCGGGCGCGAACGAGAAGATAGCGTCACCTTATACTCTCCACGTGTACAGGCTTACTTGCCGGATAGTCACCTAGCGACCGTCACTAGTCAGATTTACTAGCCGTCTGCACTATCCCCGTGTACAAGCACCTTATGCCAGGCGATGAGGGCTTGCTCTTCATATACGAAAGTTCAAACCTAAGGATATATTTATCCTTAAAATACCTTGATTTTTAAGCCAAATATCTTAGTTATCAAATCAATTTTAACTAATTTAAAAACATGAACATAATTTATTATTATTATAAAAGAAAACACAGATAAAATACACAGAGGACGTCGTACTGACTACAGGTTCGGTAGATTCACTTCCTGCATTGTTACATTCTTTGCGAATCATGTTTCACTTCAACATTTAATTATTGTAATCACAAAGTTAAAAAATATAACTCAGTTCTCACTGCAGTGAGTGACAGAGAGAGCATTTTCTCGTCGACGAAAACTTGAGGTCACGGACAGACGGACGGACAGACAGACGGACGGACGGACATGACGAGCACAATAGTGCATTTTTTCCATAAATGAGAAAATGCGCTAAAAAACACCAGCATATTGAACATCTTCAACCGGTTAGTTCACAATTTGAAGAGACAGTCACGTGATTCTATTCGGAAATAA